ACCTCCCTATATCTTATTAGCCTATCATAGCCCCTAGAGAATGCGTTCAAGAAGAAAAATTGAACCAACTCACCGAGCTCCAGGAAACCCACTGCCCGAGACCTGATTTCCTCAGTCAGCAGCCTTGCCCTCTTCAGATACTGCAAGACGTAGATTATGGGAGCAAACAATACCATGTTCTGCTCCCCACAGCCCCTTGGCATCTGTACCAGATTGTCTAGGTTCTGGAGGGCTGTGCCCATAATGTCTCCTGAGATCCAAAAGAAGAGAGAAAGTGACAGTAGAGAGAAGAAAGAAGCCTTCTGAGTTATTGTCATTCATTTAATTTTTTTTAATTTTTTTTTTACAGTTTATTAATTTTTGACAGAGAGAGAGAGAGAGAGACAGAGCATGAGTGGGGGAGGGGCAGAGAGAGAGGGAGACACAGAATCCGAAGCAGACTCCAGGCTCCAAGCTGTCAGCACAGAGCCCGACGCGGGGCTCGGACTCCAGACCGCGAGATCATGACCTGAGCCAAAGTCGGACACTCAACCGACTGAGCCACCCAGGCGCCCCATATTGTCACTCATTTAACAAACACGTATCAGCTATCATTTAGTTGAGTACCTACGCTGTGGCCTGGGAGACAGTAAGTCAAGTACAGTCTTCATCTCAAAAGATCATAATCCGAGGGGCAAACAATTACAAAACATTACAAATAGTATTCATTGTAAACAATTATAATACAGTGCGATCATTTTGGGTGCACACAAGGTGCTGGAGCACACAGAGAAGAAGTACATGGGTTACCTAAGGGCGTGGAGGGTTGTAAGAAGACACGTCACGGGCTGGTGAGTAACATAACAAAACCTACAATACTTAGACTCAATCTCTAAGTTCCTCCCCTGTGTATAAATGCATTGTCCTCCAACTCACCATGTTCCTGCCAAAGCGAACACAATCCTGATCCCCTTTTCCAAGTTATACCTACTGACCTAGCCATATATTTTATACACCCGTAAGCCTGATCTAAGTGACCCATTAACATCTGCACTTTTAGCCATTAAGTTCAATTCAAATCTATAAATACATACTGAATGTCAACTATGTGGCAATAACTGTGCTAGAATCAAATAAAAAAAGAGGTGGGCGCCTGGGTGGCTCAGTCCATTAGACGTCCGACTCTTGATTTCAGCTCAGGTCATGATCTCACAGTTCATTAGATGGAGCCCCACCCACATCGTGTTCCATGCTGACAGCCAAAGCCTACTTGGGATTCTTTCTCTCCCTCTCTCTCTGCCCTTGCATGCTCTCTCTCTCTCTCTCTCTTTCAAAAAAAAAAAAAAGGGGGGGGATGACCCTTGTCCTCAAGGAGCCCACAATGCAGCCTGAAAGACAGACATAGACAGTGAGCTACATCCTACAATAAAAATGAGTGTTACACTAGAGGTCTGACTCAACTACAGTCAAAATAGAGAAATTTTATCCTGGAAAGGATCTTAGTAGGGGATCAGAGTAAAGAAATGATCTAACATACACAGGGCTCCTAGTAGATGCTAGATATTGTGGTGGAAACTTTATATTTAATTTTTACACCAATCCAGAGAGGTGGGTTATCATCAGTCTTGCAGAAGGCGGGGAGGGGGGGAAGGATCAGAATTGTTTACTTATTCAAGGTCACGTGGCTATTAAATGGCAGAACTGGGATCCCAACCTGGTTTGATATGATTTTCAACGTCATGCTTTTCTACTCAATCCCTCTCCTTGCCCAGAGAAGTGTCCTGTCTGTGTAAATATGGTGTTATTTCCCCTACGCTATACTCAACTAGATAAATTCCTCATTTTTTTTTTTCAACGTTTATTTATTTTTGGGACAGAGAGAGACAGAGCATGAACGGGGGAGGGGCAGAGAGAGAGGGAGACACAGAATCGGAAACAGGCTCCAGGCTCCGAGCCATCAGCCCAGAGCCCGACGCGGGGCTCGAACTCCCGGACCGCGAGATCGTGACCTGAGCTGAAGCCGGACGCTCAACCGACTGCGCCACCCAGGCGCCCCATAAATTCCTCATTTTTTTAAAGGTTGCTACAAACATTATGTCTCTCCTCCACTCAGTTTATAGACCACCTGAACCTAAACGCATATGAAGCTTCCCTGACCTTTAACTTCTTCCTGTCCAGGCTCCTTTCTGTTTTTAACTACCATAGACATCTAATCCCACATGTACTGTTATCTAGAGGCTGTGTTTGCCCACTACATAGAATAAGCTCTTCTTCTGTCCCTTCTAATTTGACACACCTTCCCTCGGATAGGTCCACATGCCCCAACCCACTCCACACTTTCAGCAACTTTCAGCCCCCCTTTTTTTTTTTTTTTTTTTTTTTTTGTCCTTTTGAGCAAGAATCTCTGGCTATTTACCCAGAGCCGCAACATAAGCCTTGGCTGAATCAGGAACCACATCCACAGGGAGCTCCAAGGAAATGGATTCTGAAACCACTTGTCCTGTGAGAGGCAGAGAAAAGGGGAAAGCAGAGAAGGTCAAAACAGTGGGAGTTCAAGCCCAAACCATAGAAAACCTTTCTATAATCCAGGGTTGTCCGTACCCAGTCCTTGCTGTGGGATGGAGGCAAATTTCTTTTAACCTATTCATAGTGCTCTTTGCTGAAAATAAACTTAAAAAAAAAAAACAACAACACACAATTGTGTTGTACATTTTTTCCTCATCCTGTCTCTCAGCTAATTGGTCCTATTAGGGACAGCACCCTTAGACTCTCCTACCCTTTCCTGTCCTTTATATTCCTCCTTTGGCCCAAGAAAGTCTCCCGTTGGCTACGGGAATTCTCAGTACCAACCCCTCTCTGCACTCACCCACCTTTTGGGCAAAGCAATGAGCTGTGTGTCTTCTCCACGAGGACTCCTTCAGGCTGACATGAAGAGAGACATAGGGTGAAAACAATGAAGGTGAATGTCAGGGCAGGTGGCCCTGAAGGAACAGGAAGTGGATGGGAAATGGGGAGAAAAGGCCCTCCCTGTGCCCCCAGGGTTTCTCCCAACAAGAAAAAACAGAGCTTCTCCTTGAAGTTCAGAAGAACTCCATTTCTTTTCTTTTCTTTCCTTTTTTTTTTTATTTTTTTAATGCTTATTTATTTATTTTGAGAGAGAGAGAGAGAGAGAGAGAGAGAGCATGAGCCAGGGAGGGGCAGAGAAAGAGGGAGAGAGAGAATCCCAAGTAGGCTCCACACTGTCAGCTCAGAGCCCGATGTGGAGCTCGAACTCACAAACCGTGAAATCATGACCTGAGCCAACGTCAAGAGTGGGACGCTTCACCGACTGAGCCACCCCGAGAACTCCATTTCAACACAGGGATGGATCTACCAGTAAAATTCTTTCTGTGCAAGGGCAAGAGCTAAGGGCACGTTTAGGACACTTCTAAGAGGCATGATTGGCAATGGGGTTCCTGAGGGGATAAAAGAAAAGCAGCAAATGCCGATAGTAGAGATTTTTAATAAGAGAAACTCACATTCGTTGAGGGTCTATAGCCGGCGCTGTATTAGGCACTGTCATAGAGCATTGGTATGGGGTAGGCAAATAATGAAGGGCAGAAAGGGGTCACAGAAGAAGGCAAATGAGCTACCTGACTGCACTTGGAGTCAGACAGCCGTGGGAGACCAACCGTACGGCTACACACACACAGAGCACCCCCCGGGGTGCCTGCTGTCTCTACCTCGTGAAGCTAAGCCTGCAGAAAACTCACCTTGACCAGAACTGGTTTGATGAGTGTGTCACTTTGGCCCTTTTCTGGAACAAACCCCTTCTGCCTCCCACAGAGTTCATCGCTGTCCAGAATCTGGGTAGTAACAGTAAAGTTTACATGACCTGACAAGAAAGAAGGAGAAAGGAAGGCATTAGCCCTGTTGCCGGAGGTCCAAGGAGGTCTCTTCCCCTCCAGACCAGTGCGCCTTAAACTTAATGGCGTTCAAAGACCAGTGTGGTAGGCCGCCTCGAAGGGTCCCCAATTATCTCTGCATCCCGGTATTCATACTGCTGTGTCAGTTCCTCTCAAAGCGTGGGCTGGATTAAGTGACTGGCTTCCAAAGAGGAGGATAGGACAGAAGCAATGAGATGCCACTTCTGAGATTAGTTTACAAAAGACTATAGCTCCTATCTCAGGGGCACTCTTTCTCTTGGGCCCCTTACTCTGCAGGTGGCCAGCTGTCCTGTCATGAGGCCGCCCGGTGGACAGATTCATGTGACAAGAAACTGAGGGAGGCCACCAGCCCACAGCTGAGGCCAAGAACCGCAGCCCGTGTGGGACAGAGGCTTTGGAAGGAGCTTGGAAGCGGATCCTCCTCTAGTCAAGTCTCCAAATGAAAACATAGCCCTGGGTGACGATTTGATTGGTATTTGATGAGAGACCTTGAGACAGAGGCACCCTGCTAAACAGTACCTAGATTACTGGCCCACGGAAACTGGGTGATGAGAAATGCTTATTCTTTTAAGCCTCTAAGTTTTCAGGGTGGTTGTATCAGATAGGTATTAGATAACTAATGTATTAGGTAACTAATACATCGGAAGACCATACTTTAAGTCGCCAGGATCTTATCGTAAGAGCAAATGACATCTCTTAGGGCTATTGTGACGGTTAGATGAATTCGTACAGGTCAAGCAGCTAGAACAGAGGCTGGCCTTTAGTAAGTACTTGATTAATAACAAGACTCTATAGCCCTTGTCCTGCCATAAATATCAAAAGCTCCCCTTTTCGCACTCAAAATAGTCTCGCTTGGATAACTTTTTGGTCATCGATCAAAGAGCATTTGCTTATTTATTGATGGCATAGGTTTAGAGGGCAAACATAGAGGCAAATAAAATGAAAAAGCAAGAACAAAGCGAACGCAGGAGAGGCAAGGGTAACGTTCTCAATGACTGAGCTTTGCTCTATGCTTCTCTTGCTCCCTCCACCCCCTCCTCCTCTTACCCAACTTGATAGCTGTGATATTCCAGTGATAGCTTTTTGCTTCATCAGCACAGAGACAGCTGGAGTCCTGAGGACCTGTCCACGATTCCACCTGGTACTCATCGGATTTAGCCAGGTGAGTGTGAACCTGAAGATGTTTAGGAAATATAAAGGGTCTGAGTACAGGAAGCCACGCACAGAGCCTTAGGAACACGGGGAATCGCGTCCCATCTCTTTCCCGGGGTCAGAGATTCCCGTATCTCGGCTCTTACCCTGATGCAGTCCTTTAGATAATTGAAGATGGTGGCAGTAAGGCGAAAAGATTCCCCTCGAACTACTGAGTAAGGGAGAGTCAGATCAACAAAGAATGGTTTGAAAGCAGTCAGTCCAACAGTGGGTGACAGACCAAAGCCGCTAGTCTGGGAGGTGCAGAAAGTCATGGCCTTCCACTCGGTGATAGTATCAGGAACCGTGACGTGGACAGCCTCCTTCCCTGAGTTACTGTGAGAACACAGAACCCAGGTGAGGCGCGCACACACAGCAGGGCAAGGGGAACACTGTGGAGGAAGCTATCAGTTCACCTGCAGAAGTCATTTGTTGTTGTCACGGAGGTGGGGGGAAGGTAAAAAAGGCAACTGAATTGAGGAACATGCCAGCCTCAGAGTGTGACCCTTCGGGGGGAGTGAGGATGTACCAATATGGGAGAAGGGGGTGCCTGCGTAGAGGAGGGGGTAAGAGCAGGTGGGCACGTGTGGACACACGTATCTGAAAGAGCCAGTGCCCCTGAATCTGTGAGGTGCGATCTCGTCGGGGTTCTCACTTGCATTTCTCTGATTAGCGATATGGAGCATCTTTTCATGTACTTTTTGGACACAGGAGCCTTGAGATGAGCTTGTCACGAGCCCCGGCCCGGGCTCTGTGCTGAGCGTGGAGCCTGCGTAAGATTCCCTCTCGCCCTCTGCCCCTCCCCTGCTTGCACCCTCTCTCTAAAATAAAATTTAAAAAAATAATACATTTTAAAAATAAATAAGTAACTCCATGTCTTAAAAAAAAAAAAAAAAAAAAAAAAAACATTATCTCTGGGGTGCCCGGGTGGCTCAGTCGGTTGGCTCAGTCTGACTTTGGATCAGGTCACGATCTCATGGCTTGTGAGTTCGAGCTCCGCGTCAGGCTCTGTGCTGATGGCTCAGAGCCTGGAGCCTGCTTTGGATTCTCTGTCTCCTTCTCTCTCTGCCCCTCCCTGACTGGTGCTCCGTCTCTTTCTGTCTCTCAAAAATAAATACATATAAAAAAAACAAAAAATTAAAAAAAAAAAAAGATCTGACTCCAAATTCGCTGCTGACTCCACAAGGTACAATCTTGCTATATCTTTGAGGCATCACTTACCCAACTGGAAACAGATCCCAGAGCCAAGTCTCTGGGAAATACTGGCGGATCTGAGGATCCTCTGACTGAAGTGATGAAGATGATGATGATTCAAAACTCACGAGACGATTACCATAATTTGCTGAGGAGAACAAGAATAAGGGAATTTGGGAAAACAGAAGACTTTTGGGGGAGAGAGAGAGAGAGAGAGAGACCTCTCACACGTGCAAGTAGGGGCGGGGAAGAGAGACAGAGGGAGAGAGAGAATCTCAAGCAGGCTCCATGTTCAATGTGGAGCCCAAGGTGAGGCTCAGTCCCACGACCCTGAGATCATGACCTGAGCTGATATCAAGAGTCGAATGCCTAACCAATTGAGCCACCCGGGCTCTCCCAAAAGACTTCTGTTGTACGATAAGCTGAGGCAGAGGAACTACGACCAAGAAATTTAGAGGGAAATGGAGAACAAGTCAGAGACAAGGAGGAAGGAGTACCAAGGAGCCGACTAGTCTCAAGGCCATCAGGGGGAAGTGACAGATGAGGAGGTTTGGCCAGGGGATGAATAGGTAAGGGCTTCAAGCTTCAAAAGTGCTCCCCAGAGAGAGATCTGGCTGCCTGCATCCATGACCGGCAAGCCATTATCACTCGGACCGGAGGCAACAGGAACAGGAAGCAAAGAGTGCGCTTCTGGAGTTCCATGATTTAAGCTACACGGGTAGCTTACCTTCCGCCACTGCAATGCTGTGCTTTAGAGACTGGTGACTGCAATCTACTGGCTTCTTGATCTGGGCATTGGACAGTATTTTCAGGCCCATGTCCTGATAGGCACCAAAGAAACCGGAGGACCAAGAGTTAAAGTGGTCCCCTCCCTTACTATGTGGGCTACTGCCTAGGCAGTCTATCCTCAAAGGGTGGAACCAAGCCTTCTTTTCCTGTTAACTGTAATACAGGTGTTTATTCCCCAACACTCAGCCGCCAAGTTTTGTTCACTTCTGTCAGCCAGAAATGTAAAAAATTGCAATTTTTTAATATATATACTCTGCATAATGATCACTAGAATAAGCCTAGTTAACATCCATCACCATACCTAGGTACAAAAAAAAAAATGGTTTTTTCTTGCGATGAGAACTTTCAAGATCTATTCTTTTAGCAACTTTCAAATATGTAATACAATATTATTAGCCGTGCGGTCGCCAATGCTGTATGTTACATCCCCAGGACTTCTTTCAAACCAGATGTCTGTGCCTCTTGACAGCCCTTACTCATTTTGCACACCCCATGCCCACTGCCTCTGGCAGCCACCAAATTATTCTATGAGCTTGTTGTTGCTGTTGTTTAGGTTCCACATAGAAGTGAGGTCATATGGTATCTGTCTTTCTCTGACCGACTTATGTCACGGAGCATAACGCCCTCAAGAGCCACCCATGTGGGCGCGAATGACAAGATCTCATCCTCCTTTTTATCGGTGAATAGTAATCCACTTATTTCATCGTCAAACATATTTCATGCTTCTTCCAAACGTTAGTCACTGTGCCCTTATTTCATTTAGCCTGAACTTTCTGAGGGCAGGAACCATATCGGCTCAGTCAATTCAACAAAAACACATGGAGTATTATGAAGGATCAGTCATTAGAGAGAATACAAAGATGAACAAGACATGGTTCCTGACTTCAGAGACCTCTGGTCAGACTTAGGCCTCGGCATCCCCAACTCCTACTCATGAAGTACTTAACCTCTACTCACGTAATGTTTATAATGATGGAAAGAGGCTGCACACAGCCTCTCACGGTGGCCCTCTGCCAATGCAGTTGGCCAGTTGGGTACCTTCTTCCAGGATAAGGACCAGGAGAGGCTACCTCACGTATTAGGAGTTTCTTCCAAGGTTTTATCCCCTCAGTGCCCACATGAGTCTCTCTGCTTTTTTTAGGTAAGGAATTTCCTCCGCCCACCACCACCATTGTTTCTACAAGAACAAAACGGGTAAGAACATCTACCTGGAAAAAATGGAAAAGGTCCACACGTTCAGAGAACCAAGGCCTCCACATAACCGAGAGGGTTTGTGGAGAGTTCCAGAAGCCAGACATTGGACACTCATCATATTCAGCCACCTGATAGGGGTAGTGACCGTACCAGAATGAGAACATCCTATAGATCTGAAACAGGAAGGGAAAAGGAAATAAACTATTGACACAGTGAAATCAGTAGAGAAACTTCTCTCGGACTGTGGTGCCACAGCTCACCGCCCTCGTATTATTTCTCTTCGTTACTCCCGAAATCTTCCTGTATTTATTGCATCACAAAATCTCCCCTACCTTTACATTTTTGACCCCTTTCTCACCGTTTTTTTAAAGGTTTTTTAAAGCTCATTTCTTTATTTTGAGAGAGAGAGAAATGTGCGTGAACGGGGGAGGGGCAGAGAGAGAGAGAGAGAGAGAGAGAGAGAGAAGATTCCAAGCAGGCTCTGTGCTGACAGCACAGAGCTCGGGGCGCTCGAACTCACGAACCACGAGATCGTGACCTGAGCCAAAATCAAGAGTCAGACACTGAACCGACTGAGCCACCCCGGCCCCCCCCCCCTCTTTCTCACCTTCTTCAATAATCTGTCACCCTTAGCTCCTATTACATCTTTCCTACTTCTATGCCCACATGAGCCCTGCCTTTCTCATGCCATCAGTTGACCTCTATTTCCCCACCAGCTTTTCTACCATAAGGCTTTCCCTCAGCCTTTCTTTCTCACTCCCTGAAATCCATCTTTTGTTCGAGTGCAGTCACGCTGTCTTCCCTTCCCGCCCCAGTAGCAGACTACTCACAGAACTGTTGCTCAGCTCTCTCTCTGGCCTCAGCAGCGAGACACTCTTATCCACCGCCCGGACGGCACACAGGGACCCAGGAGTTGCCTGCAGCTGTAGTTCCACATCTGCTCCTGGAAGCTGCTGGGAAGGTGAGAAGCCAAGGGAAACCTGGGGAAGGGCAAAGTATAACTTGGGGATCAGGTCAGCCCGGAGACGGGGAGGAACAACATAATTTGCCTCATCTGCCAATAAGCCCCAGTTTTGGCATCGGGGCCCATTCCTTCACTTTTAGACTGATTTTTTTCAGCACAGAATACCACAGAAAGTTTACGAGGCAGAAACTAAAAAGAAAGAAGACCTGGGAAGAATACACGGTTTCCCCGGCATGGCTTTCTAAAAAGAAAGAGAGCAACTTCAACAAAACATCCTGAAGATATAAATACGATAATGACGTCCGCCTCCCCATTATCTTCCTATTTCTCTGTCCCTGCCTGATCTCCAGCCCCAGCATACACAAGATCTCTCTCTCTCTCTCTCTCTCTGCCCAGACCTTTTCTTCACCTCCCTCAACTGCCATTTTACCTGATTGTCAAAACACATCTCTACCGAGAACTGAATTTTGTCGGCTATAACCGCTCCGCTGGGAAAAATGGCATAGATCACCAGAGAAGGATGGGGGGCTAGTCTGGAAGTGAAGGTCAGTGCGATGGAGAAGGAGCCTTTCATTCCTGGAAAAGAAGAGGGGATACACAGGGAAGAGAATGCGCGCTCGTCCACCAACGACCTCCAACCACGAGTCTACGCCGCTCATTGCCCTAGCTGCGGCCCCCCCATTCTCCTGCCCTGTGGTGATCAGTGGTATTCTCTCATTGTTTGATCTCTGTGGCTTCTGGGATAACAAGAGCTTCCTGGAAGTTGAAGATATCCTTTCATCTTTCAGCGGAAGCCTGAACACTCACCTTCCTTCTCAGAATTCAGGTGTTTCTGCCCCTCTATCTCCAAACGCCCTTTCCCCACTACCTAAAAAAGAGAAAAGAAAAAAAAAAAAAATCATCAACCGCACAGAAGTTATGGGACCCTATGGGGCGCCTGGGTGGCGCAGTCGGTTAAGCGTCCGACTTCAGCCAGGTCACGATCTCGCGGTCCGGGAGTTCGAGCCCCGCGTCGGGCTCTGGGCTGATGGCTCGGAGCCTGGAGCCTTGTTTCCGATTCTGTGTCTCCCTCTCTATCTGCCCCTCCCCCGTTCATGCTCTGTCTCTCTCTATCCCCCCCCCCAAAAAACAAAAAACGTTGAAAACGTTGAGAAGTTATGGGACCCTACTTGTGGAGCATCCCTGCCTCTCTGCATAAGGAAAGTCTCCTTTCTTAGTTCCAGAGCCTGGCTCAGTGCTTCATGCCGCATCCGTCAGTTTGTCAAATGTCGGATGGCACCATGAGCCTTGATGACCCTTCCTCTTGGAGGCGCTCCCGAGAACCACGGCCAAGGATGGGAGGAGACAAAGGTCATCATTACTTCGGGGCCAAACGGAACAGAAGCCTTTCTTCACAATAGAGAGCTGTCCACCGCTCTTGGTGACTTGAGGGTCTCCAGGTTCGATTCTCTTATACTCCTTGTAACATGAAGTCAACCCAAAATCCATCCGTCTTCATAACTTTTTTTTTTAATCGCTTGATTCAAAATTCAATGGAAACGAGTGCACTTTAAACTGCCTTAAGCCCTTCTGACATTTGACTCTTTGGGGGAGAAATCCCCTCGTCGAACTCTCCCTGTTCACTCACTTGAAACCAAATTCAGTGAAACTGTTTCTGAGCAGGCTGTCAGCTCAGACTGCAGTCAAGGGCTCTAGGGCCGGCTCTTCAGACTCTCAGCTGGCCCTCAGCCCTTCCACACTGATCAGCCCATCCACCCGCCCCCCGGCTGTCCCCACACTCCTGTCCCGAAGACAGTGCCCGTGTTAGCACTCTGACTCCTTATGTTGTCTACCCCTCCTCATCCTGTTTGGTCAGGATGATTGTTTCTGCGCGAAGACACTGAAATGAACCCATGGGGAGAAAATCCCTCAGAAACTTGGAGAGGGTGATAAGAGAATAGAGACTCTGGGCCCCGGCAAACCCGGGCTTTACACAAATCTAATTCCCCGCTATCACCAAGGTGACCAGTAAAGCCGCTTATCAAGCCACAAGTTGTGATTTTACTCACACCACAAAGCTGCTATCAATGTTAATTTTAACCTTTATCATCTATTTTTAAATTACTGACCAATGAATCACAGAATGAAATTTGTTCTGAGTCCCAGCCCCTCCGCACCCTCTCCCCCATTCACGCACCCAGCTCCCATTCAGCCCTGACCAGCAATGTGTTCTCCTTAATTCTTCGTTTTATCTTCCCAGTTTCCCTGGGCTCCTTTCTAAAATCTCTTTTTTTTTTCACATCCACCCCCATCCTTTACACTGACACTGTGCAATACAGTAGCCACGAGCCACATGTGACTGCTGGAGCCCTTGAAAGGTGGCTACTAGAAAATACACACTTTGAGTTTGTATGTATATATGTGTGTAAATACATACATGTATTATTATACATATATGTATGTATTATATATTATGTATATATGTGTGTATATACATATATATGT